CGCCTGGCCCATATCCCTCCAAATCTTAACTATTCATGAACTTATCCAAATGTCTTTTAAATTTTGCAACTGTACCTGCATCCACCACTTTCTCTGATAGTTCAATCCACACATGAACCACAGTGTAAAAAAGGTGTCTGTGTCCTTTTTATGTCATCCTCCTCTTACCTTAAAAACATGCCCCTAGTTTTGAACTCCACCACCCTAGGGAAAAGACCCTTGCTAATCATCTTATCTATGCTCTTCATCATTTTATAAACCTCAATAGGATCACCCCTCAAACTCCTACTCTCCAGTGAAAAAAGTCCCAGTGTTTCCAGTCTATTTTTACACCTCAAGCCTTCCAATGCCGGCAACATCCTGGTAAATCTTTTCTGAGCACTCTCTAGTTTAACAATATCTTTCCTACAACAGGGCAACCAGAACTGCACATGGTACTCCAGAAGAAGTCTCACCAATGTCCTGCACAACCTCAACGTCATATCCTAACTCATGCACTCAGTGGTCAGAACAATGAAGGCAAGCATGCTAAACGCCTCCTTAACAACCCTGTCTACCGTGATGCAAATTTCAAAGAATTAGCCCTGAACCCCTCGGTCTCTCTGTTCAACAACACTACCCAGGGCCCTACCATTAATTGTATAAGTGTTGTCCTTGTTTGTATTACCAAAATGCAATACCTCACATTTATCCAAATTAAACTCCACCTGCCACTCCTCAGCCCACTGACCCAGACAGTCAGATAGATGGGTAACTGTCAGGAGAGGTAGAAAGGTAGTGCAGAAGTCTCCTGTGGATATTCTTCTCTCAAACGGATATACCGTTTTGGGTACTATTGGTGGGGGGATAGTCTCTCAGAGGAAAATAGAAGTGGCAGCCAGATCTTGGGCACCAAGAGTGAATCTTATGTTAAGTGGGGCTTGTCAAAGTTCAAGAGAGTAATTGTTATGGGAGATTCTCCTGTCAGGGGCACAGACTGGTGATTCTGCAGCTATGTGCAAGAATTCAGGATGGTATGTTGCCTCCCTGCTACCAGGGTGAAGGACATCTCAAAGAGATTGCAATACAATGACAAAGAGACAATTAAGAAGCCAGAAGTTGTTGTACATATTGGTAAGAACAACATAGTTAGAGAAAGGGTTGAGGCTTTGCAGAATGAATATAAGAAGTTAGGTAGGGGGTTAAAAAACAGAACTTCAAAGGTAGTAACCTCTGAATTACTCCCAGTGCCACATGCAAGTGACAGTAGAAATAAGAAAATAGGGCAGATAAGTCAATAGTGCGGTGGGCAAGGAATGTAAGTCTGCATCTGTGTGTGTCCCCTAAGTAGTCATGAGAATAGAATGACAGATGAGAATGGTTCAGAATTTAAAAAGAGCAACTTTTAAAATGCAGACAAGAGCAAGTCACAGTACAAGGTCTGAAGAATTAAACTGCATTTATTCCAATGCAAGGGGTCTTACAGGTAAGGCAGATGAACTCAGGGCATGTATGGGAACATGGGACGGGAACATCATCAATATTACAGAAGCATAGTCGAGGGAGGGACAGAACTGGCAGCTCAATGTTCCAAGGTTTAGATGCTATGGGAAGGGTAGAAAGGGAGGCAAGAAAGGAGGGAGAGTGGTGTTTTTGATTAAGGAAAACATTACTGCTGAGGATATTTCTGCGGGATCATCCAGTGAAACTAAATGGGTGGAACTCACAAATAAGAAGGGGTTGATCACCTTGATGGGATTGTACTATAGCACCCCCAATAGTCAGTAGGAAACTGACGACCAAGTCTGTAGAGAGATCTCAGATATACATAAGAATAACAGGGTTGTAATAGTAAGGGATTTTAACTTCCCAAACATAGATTGGGACAGCCATAGTGGCTTGGATGGTGAGGAATTTGCTAAATGTGTTCAAGAAAATTTTCTTTATCAGTATGTAGATGCACCTAGAGAAGGAGCAAAACTTGATCTCCTCTTGGGAAATAAGGCAGGTCAAGTGACTGAAGTGTTAGTGGGAAAGCACTTTGGGACCAGTGATCATAATTCAGTAAGTTTTTAAAATAGTAATAAAAGAAGAAAAGCCTTGTATAAAAGTTAGAGTTCTTAATTGGAGTAAAGCAAATTTTGAAGGCATGAGAGAGGAACTTTCAAAAGTTAACAGGAGTAGACTGTTCACAGTTAAAGACACGACTTGCAAGTGGAAGGCTTTCAAAAGTGAGATTTCGAGATTTAATTATGCTCCTGTTAGAGTGAAGGATAAGGCTGGTAAGAGTAGGAAACAATGAATGAATAAAGATACTGAGGCTCTGGTTAAGAATAAGAAGGAGGTATATATTAGCTACAGACAACTGGGATCAAGTGAATTGCTTGAAGAGTATAAGGGGTGTAAGGGCATTCTTAAGACAGAAATCAGGAGGGCAAAAAGGAAATATGAGATAGTGAAAGAGCAACTAGAGAGAGAATAGGGCCCCTTAAAAATTAATGAGGTCATCTATGTATGGAACCATAGGAGATGGGAGAGATATTAAATGTATATTTTACATCAGTTTTTACTGTGGAGAAAGAAATTGAAGTTAAGGAACTTAGAGAAATAAATAGTGATGGCTTGAAAACAGTCCACGTTACAGAAGAGGTGGTACTGGAGGTCTTAAAAAACATAAAGGCAGTTAAATCTCTGGGACCTGATCAAGTGTGTCTCAGGATGTTGTGGGAAGTTAGGGAAGAAATTATGGTCCCTAACAGAGATATATCTATGATCTACAGCCACAGGTGAGGTACCGGAGGACTGGAAGGTGGCTAATGTTGTGCCTTTATTTAAGAAAGGCTGTCAGGAGGGGTCTGGAACTAGTGGCATTGGAGTCTGACGTCAGTGGTGGGTAAGCTGTTGGAGGGGATTCTGAGAGTTAGGACTTAACATGTATTTGGAGAGGCAAAACCTCATTAGGAACAGTCAGCATGGCTTTTTGCGTGGGAAATAGTGTCTCACAAACTTGATAGGGGTTTCTGAGGATGTAACCAAAAAGATTGATAAGGGCACAGCAGGAGGCGTTGTCTACTTGGACTTCAGTAAAACCTTTGACAAGGTTCTGCATTGTGATCTAACTTTACTAATCAGTCTACAAGGGGTTCAGGGCGTGCTTGCTAATTGGATACAAAATTGGCTTGACGGTAAGAGATGGAAGGTAGTGGTGGAGGGTTGTTTTTTTGGACTGGAGGCCTGTGATCAGCAGTGTTCCACAGGGACTGGTGCTGGGTCCACTGCTGATTGTCATTTGTAAAAACAAATTTGATGAGATTTAGGAGGGATGGTTAGTAAGCTTATGGACAACACCATCAGAAGACACATGACACCAGGTTATGGTCCACCAGGTTTATTTGGAATCACACAAGCTTTTGGAAAGCAGTGCCTTCGTCAGCTGCAGTGAAGAGCAGGGCACACAGACACAGAGTTTATAAGCAGAGAGATCAAGGGCCGAGAGATCAAAAGATCATGCAACTGACGTGAGTGGAGTGTCAGATAATAAGTCTCGGCAGGTGACCAAGAGTGTTACATGGTGCGTAAAGTGCTTATAAAGTCAAAGTCAGTGCTGGGCTATCATGACAATCAAGCAGAGCCGTAGGAATATACAAAAGATGACATCTCAGGTCAGACGCTGAACTGTAGGTATGAAGCTTTGTTCAGAATCTGTCTCAGTTTTAACCTGGAATCAGGCAGGTTCTATTCCGAAAGCTGGAATTTATAAGATGCCACAATGACTGACTGTGACTACTAATTGTGTGTTGTTTGAACAAATTAAAATGTATCTACAAATAGACAAACATCTTGGATGAAATGATTCACCCATTATAGAACAGAGAGACCAAGGGGTTCAGGTACATAGTTCTTTGAAAGTTTCATCACAGGTAGACAGGATGCTTAAGAAGCTTAGCACTCTTGCCTTCATTGCTCAGACAACTGAGTATAGGAGTTGGGAAAGTCATGCTGAGGTTGTATAGGACATTGGTGAGGCCACTTTCGAAGGACTGTGTACTGTTCTGGTCACACTGCAATAGGAGGGATATTATTAAATTGGAGAGGGTTCAGAAAAGATTTACCAGGATGTTGCCAGGACTGGAAGGGTTTTGAGTTAGAAGGACAGGCTGGGACTTTTTTCACTGAAGTGTAGCAAGTTGAGGGGTGACCTTATAGAGGGTTATAAAATCATGAGGGGCATAGATAAGGTGAGTAGCAAAGGTCTTTTCCCTAGGGTGGGGGAGTTCAAAACTAGGGGATGTACTGTTAAGAAGAAAAAGACTTAAACGAAACCTGAGGGGCAACATTCTCACAGAGAGTGGTTCGTATGTGGAATGAACTGCCAGAGGAAGTAGTAGATGCAGGTAGAGTTACAAAATTTAAAAGACATTTGGATAGGTACATGAATAGGAAAGGTTTACTGGGATTTGGGCCAAACACCGGCAGGTGGGACTAATTTAGTTGTTTGGGAAACTTTGCCGGCATGGACAAGTTGGACGGAAGGTTTTGTTTCCATGCTGTATGACTCCGAGATGGACCCATTTCCCTTCTTATACATGTTTAAGTGGCCCTTCAGAGACATGCAGATATATTGTTTTTCCTATATTAATTCCTACCTTTCTGGAATCTTCTACTGGTTGTAGAATGAGCAAAAGGCAACAGCACTATTTCATAACAATTAGAATACAGCCCAAATCTGCCCCCAGCTCAAAACTCTAGGGCTCATGAAGATAAAGAACAAGAGTAGGTACTTCCGTTCTAACAATCAGAACTAGTCTGAAAGCTCAAAATTAAGCACCTCCCAGAAGTATCACTTTCCACATTTTTACAAGAAAAATTATCACCCGACACCGACAATATTCAAACACATATGCACGTAACCTTCCTGCTCTTAGTTTGTCTACTTCTGTTTGTTCTTCCCATACGGGTGATTGGATTTTGTTTGCACATTTGAACTACAGTAAGGATTACAACATCATGTATATTCTTACCTCTTTTTCATGCATTTGAATCAAAGTCTGCTCATTGCAGGATATGCTAACGTTTCCAAGGCTTGTTTTAGGTAAAATCTACAGAAGAAAGATAAAGTAAAACATGGTGCTCAGTGATCAATAAGAAAGCATTGGAGAAAAGCCTTCAAAAAACACATTTTAATTTTATACAGGCATCCGATTATTAGTCTCTTCATTTTCCATACCCGTGCTCATTTGGGAATTTAACACCTACCGGAGACAGAGGTATTGGTTTCTCTCTTAGATATCTGGGGTTTACAATCTGGAAAAACAAAAATAAGAATTATTTTTGATCATGGAGGTCTCATTTTCCCTTTTAACTCTCAAACACAAAACAGATGACTTGAAAAGGCTGGTCACCTAAAATAAATTTCTCTATATCAATCAAAGTTACGTTTAGAGTTGTTTACTTTTATCATATTGATTGTTACTTGAAACCTGGTCACACAACATTGCCAATTATTTTTTAAAAATGAAGAAGCATGCTACAAATCCAAATAGCCTCATTTATGTCTCATCCTGAAATTGTAAATTGATCAGGTAACATTGAACAGTTTCTTCAAATTCAAATTCAACAAACAACAAGGTATTTTCAATCCTTGGAGTTTTAGGTTATGAGACTGGACACTTTGTTGTGTTAGTCCAACAGACAGAAATTCCAAGATGAACACAGCACACCTTTCAGCTCAACAGATGGAATTTGTTTAACGTTTTAAGATTATGGCTTATTGCTACACTGCATCAGGTTCTTCAGCACTGGGCCATAGGGGAATGGCACAGTGTAGGTGTGGAACTGAGGAAAAAAAAAAATCAGTTCTATTTGCTTCGCCAAAGATCGTGTCTGGAAAAGTTAAGACACTATCAAATGGTAAACTTTAAGAAGTTACATGACAACAAATATCAGTAGTATTTTTTAGGTTATTTGTGTGAGAAATTATATTCAAAAACTGGCATCCAATTCCAATAAACCAGAGGATAAAACAATTTAATTCACTACATTTCCTCCAGACAGAAATGTGGATGTGAAAGCAGCTTGTGGAAAATCAAACAATTCAGGTCTCAATATCAAATGGCACTGAGATGATGCGGTTGCTCCCATTGCAACTGCATTAATCAGGGAATCGACATCTTGTCCATGTATGGATGGATACTGGTCTCCACTAAGAATTTGCGATGAACATCATTTTCCTATTTCTTGCATTCTTTCATTTGAGCAGCAAATGACATTGACACGGCTGGCACCAATTGGGAAGATGTAAATTTCATACCAGGTCAAGCCAAACCACAAAGTAATTACTCATTGAATCACTTCGAACATGTTTGCATTGATCAACCTTTATTATATCTTTAGGATCAGAAATTACTGTTATGATACATGATTGTTAGATCCCAAGAGTGTGCATGTCTGCTCCAGAAATTAATGGAAGCAGACAAATAAGTGGACGAAAAGTAAAAACTGAATTTCATTTTCTTGTCAAAATTAAATGTACGTGGTGCTGTTAAATTAATTAAATCTTAATATAGCTACAATGAAGAAACTCACAGATTAGCTATGGAACACACGATTCACAAGTCAGTCAAAATTAGTAGAATAATAGATAATTGGTTCATTATTCCTCTTTTTTTAAACTGAAGCGTTATTTAATCATCCATAGAATTGCTCGATGGAAACTGGACTACCATTTTGAACACCCTTCTCCTTATGCAATGATTGGGAGAAAGCTTATGAAGCCTCAACTATGTTTTTTCTTTATTCAGAGTTCTGAAAATTTTTAGCTTCATGAATAAAAAAAAACACAAAAATGTTGAAATATGGATATAAGTAAGGTTCAGGTTGGCAATAAGGAACTAAAGGGAAGTAAGAATGGAGGGGATTGCATTAGCCACATAAAAGGACTTGGATGAAGTTTCAGATGAGCTTAAACAAAGTGAAATATTCTTTGACTGGTTCCTGTAACATAAATAAATATCACCTATCGACAACAGATTGATACAAATCAAAATATTCCCATCACCTACCAATGTTTCAATAAAGAACTTTGTAGAGGTAACTGATGTGCTTGTTTAATCAATGCTGTCCAGTATGTTTGCCATGTGTGGCTAGATGAGAATTAATCCAGATATGCTGAGTTATATTTTTGATCAGTAAATAAAAATTCAGGAATAATCACATTCATCCAAATTTCACATGCACTTTAACCTGCTGGTACATACTTTGCTTAAATTGAAAGATGAGTATGCATTCTTCCATGGTTATCACCAATTAGTCACTTGTTAAAATAATGGGTAACATGGGTGAAAATATAGACTCCATTACCATGGAAACACCCTAAGACACTGGATGAAAATAGTAACTATTGTTGTGACCTGATTGTGATCAATCAGAATGTTCACTCCTGGAAGAGGAGAAAGCACACTTAATCAATTTTGAGAAGAACCAGCAGTACATAAAGTGGTAAGGGTTGAGGCTGGACAGCAACAGTGTGCCTCATGCAACTTGTGAGCCAATATTCTCAGTACTCGTTATGGTGAAGCAAAAGCATTGTTTATATTTGCTTTTAGGCTTCTGTCCAGCTAAGTGCTGAGTCTTATACATTCCTACCAGAATTCGAAACTTCATTAAGAAAGACTGTTAAGTTGCACAGAGAATGGTGGTGTAGGTGTGTGAGATAAATATCCAAGCATATTTAGTCATATTGAATGCAAGAGTCATGAGTAAATTCAAAATAGAGGTTTTAAAAATAACAGAAGTACGCATAAATCCAAAAGGAATTCAAGCAGAACGTCTTCAGCTAGTGAGTGGTTCAAATGTGCACACAAGGAATAATTGAGTTGAGCAGCATATATGCATTTATTGGGATGCTGAGCAAGAAAGGTATAAACAGTTATGTTGATACAATTGTGCATTAATTCCAGCACAGCCTAGTTTGACCAAATGGCCCATTTCTGAGCTATGTATTTAATGTTTTAAAAACTGTTAATTAAAGTCAGCAGGTGCAGTTAAAATGATGTTGGTATTAGGCAACTGACATTGATTAATAACCCCTTGAAGAAATGCATTGTTTTCCCTGTCAATGTTACTTCAGATAAATTTCAAAACTTCATGTTTAAAATTTCTTCAGTGCTCCTAAACAAAAGATTATTAACGATTTTCTAATTTCATGTTGTTAATTATTTTCCATTTCTGGACAAGGGGCAACAGTTTTTATAAATGGCAAGTCCTGGCACACTTCATACCTAATTTTGCTGTCAACAATGGCCAACATTTTGGACTGTTTATCCTAAACTAGGGGATCATATCTCAGGATAAGTCATCAGATATTTATGACCAAGATGAGCAGAAATCTCTTTATCCAAATGTTGGAAACTTGTGGAATTTTTCAACCCAGATGGCAATCAATGCTTAGACCATACTCAAGGCGGAGATGGATAGATTTTCAGTTACTTCCCACATTAAGTGATATGGGAATAGGGCAGAAAATAGAGTTGAGATCAGGGGTTGAGCCATGATCATTTTCAAATGGTACAGCAGGCTTCAGCAGTCAAATGAGCTACTCCTATTTCTTGCACCTTTACGCTGTCAATTGTGTGTTCATCCTCTCAGCTTCAAAATAGTGATAGTCTTTAAACTCCGAATGGAAGAAATCTTGATGCTAATTCTTGAGTCAAAATTAAGTGGGACCGTCTTGCTGAGATGGACATCAAGTGAAAACAACCAGCAAACAAAGAAATGGCCACTCGATAACTGAGACTCCAACAAATGCTCAATTTGTTCCACATGATCCAAAACCAACAACAGGGCTTTGGAAAGAAAACGCAACAAAGGACAAGCCAAACCAAGATTATAAATTTATTTCAGCAATATTTCTGATTAGTTTCTACTTTTTGTCAGTGCTTCTCGTCATTCTGAAGCTTTTGATATTCATTTTCAGGAGGATTTATACCTGTCTCAGTCACAAAATCTAAGTCCTCATACTTACAATAAATAACATACCCCTCAACTAAGTTTAGAAGTTTTGTTATCCTGGGTATATCCTCTCCACCAACACTATGTCAGATAATGTAATTGCCTATCACATGGCAAAGCAAGCTCAGCACGTGTACGAGCCATTCGGCCCAACGAGTCCACACCAATCCTCTGAAGGGCCCACCCAGACCCATTCCCCTACCCTATCCCTGTAACTCTGCATTTCTCATGGCTAAAGCACCTAACCTACAAATCCTAGAACACTATGGGTAATTTAGCATGGCCAATCCACCTAACTTGCACACCTTTGGACTGTGGGAGGAACCTGGAACACCAATGGAAACCCACACAGACACGGCGAGAACATGCAAGTTCCACACGGACAGTCACCCGAGGGTGGAATCGAACTCGGGTCCCTGACGCCATGAAGCAGCTGTGCTAACCACTGAGCCACCATGCCAGCCATTGCATAAAACGATTGTTAGTGTATTTTGAAATTGGATTTACTGTTTACACAAGTTGATAAAATCAGTAAGAAGGAGCCAGAGATTCAATGTCATTCCCAAAAGAATAAGGGGGAAGATAGAAGATTTTGTTCTCTCACACAAAGCATTATTACAAGGAATACTTTGCCGTAAGCAACAACTGAAACAAGACTTAACAATAACTGACACTTATATAGCACCTTTAACATTTAAATGCCAAGACACTTTCCGAAGTGTTGTAGACAAAAAGCAATTTTGCTAACATGTCTCCAACAAAATATCTCTAGAACTAACTGATTACCAAAAAGTGTTGTTGAAATAGTATTCTACTACAAATATTTCAATTTTAGGTGTATTTTATTTGCTTGCTGTGTTAAATGATAATTAGTGAAGTGTTTCCAGAAGAAAAGTATAAAATGGTACAGCGAAGTCTCCAGTGCAAGAATTATAACAAGCAGGCAAAGCAAATAGATTTCTTCTGTGCTGTAATGCTTATGATTCTATATACGAGGATATTGACACAACAATGGACTGCATCAAATGTTATCTGCAACCTTTCATTCTCCATTCAATGAGCTCCTAATGTTAGCCAGGATTTGAAGCAAACATTGAGTACGAGCTTGCTGTCTATTCTGCAAGAAGGAAAGGAAAACACAAGGGTAAGTAGCTACCAGTCACCTTAGTGACTGACAATACAATGACATTGGCAGAACCTGAAAGCAGGTCACCACCCCTCCCCCTCCAACCCCCTTGGCTTCACAGTTGGGGATAGAACAATGCATATGATTATCAAGGTGCAATAGGTTTTCTTCCTTTCAATTTTCTCCCTTCCTCTTCTGAAGCTGTCAATACTTGCCAGGGTATGATTGGTCATCTGCCAAGACCTCACCAGAGCACAGGGGAGGATAATGAAAGAACAAGGGGAATCCTTTGAAAATATATACATGCACCATCATATGCAATGAGTACTTATGAATTTCCTTTTACTGAGCGAATAATGAGTGCCTGAGAACGACACATCTGTCCTCTAATCAAAGAGTTCAATTCGAAACCACAAAAACAAAGCTCAAGCTGTTCATTACTTTCCTTTGAACCCCCCGATTAGTGACTATGCTTCCTGGTATTTGTTTGTATTTTTGTATACACACACATTTTCATATACTTGTTGGCTCCTTATCCTGTTTTTCTCATGATGACAGTATTTCCCTGTCAAATGCTGACGTTTAATGAAGTACATTAGTCAAAGTAGATAATAAAGAATGAATCATTTTCATCCCTTCGCTTATTTCCAGGGCTTATTTTAGGAGGCACACTTTTTCTGATTATTAAAGTTGTTACTGTGTTATTTAATTAGGTGGATATACTTAAAACCTGCTTGTTTTTCTGTGCTTTTTATGACAATGGTAATATTATACTTTCACAACTAAGGGTGCAATTAGAAAAGTTAGATAGATTGCAATTTTCTTGCATAGTTTTATAACAGATGTAGCCTTCTGCCCCTCTGCAGTCCAGTACATTTCCCAGGGTAGTTCAGTACTGCAGCTGTTTGTGGTGTTGCCTTCACTGACTACTGAAATGTCTTTGAAGTTTATAGAGGCCAATACCATTCTATTTGCTCTCATGCAAAGCCACAACTAAAGGATATGGGATGACTGTATTCACTTTGATCTGCTTATTACTAATATTGTATTCTCAACTGAGTTAGTCACTGAACTGCAAAGCTATTGTGTGGCCATTGGTTACTCTATTTATGTGACGAACTGGAAACTTGACAAAGTGCCGAGAATTTAGAAGAGATTTTAACTATTTGCAGGATCATAGACATTTGCTATCCTGAAGACAAATCCAAGAATGTGAGACAAATTTAATTCAATAGCCAAAATACAACTTCCAAAAAAACAAAATTACAATTTATTAGTGAGGATTTCTTTTAAATCACTTAAATTCCTTGGGGTGATTGCTGTAGTAATGACGGAGGTGAGACATCCAATGACTCTTCCCTGAATCAAGTGCACCCTCTGTAGGCAAAATTTTCTGATCTTCAGCTTTTATATTTATTTATTTAATATTTAAATATTTATTTGACAACAATATTTGATGGGATGAGATGAAGGGCGAAAGGTGAATCTGGAACATAAAAAAGTATGGACTTAACATAAAAATGTGGGGACTTGCTGGACCATATGACCTATTTTGTTTTGTAAACACTGTAAAACTGTTAAAACCAACAGCAGATAAACAGAACATACCCCAAGATTCCAGCTATTTAATCTTGCTTCAAAGTCACTCTCATCAGAAGATGTAACTGCTCTGGGTTCAGAAACCACCTGGAAACACAATTTAAATGAATTTTACACAAAACTGTGATGAAACAAAGGGTGTCCAAAGTGAAGAACGAAACTAAAATATTTCTGATATATTTTATCTAAAATATTCTTGAAATTACTTTGTTGCAATCTCAAAAAGTGAAGGCCAAAGCTATAAATTTGAATTCTAGGCATCATTTTGAACTGGTTATTTTTTCACCACTGTCCACACTAAGTATGTTTTTGCCATTTAATCAGTTCGTAGCTAATCTATTCTAAAACTCAATATATCCTCTTCCGATAATCTTTCTTAATGCACCTACTTAATCAATCTTTTCAGGGGTCAGTGAGTTTAGTTGGCAGGACAGCTTGTTTGTGGTGCAGAGTGATGCCATAAGTGTGGGTTCAATTCCCACACCAGCTGAGGTCACCAAGAGGACATTCTTTCTCAACCTCTCTCCCTGACTGAGGCGTGGCTACCCTCAGGTTAAAGCATCACTGAACATCTCTCTCTCTCTCTCTCTCTCTAATGCGACAACAGCCCTACGATCTGGTAAGACTATAGCACCTTTACTTCCATGACTGAAAATTTCAACGAACCCAGCAAGCACATCCTCTTGATTAAAAGAATTCCAGATTGCAACTACGCTTTGTGTGAAAACTCTTCTTGATTTCACTCCCAAATAGCTATGATCTGCCATCTAACACAATGGAAGACACTAGTTCAGGACATGAATTTCCTTTTGAAACCACTGATTCTTCTTGCTTTCACCACCCTGAGGGCAGCGAGTTCCAGATCATTGCACTTGCTGCAGAAACAATGGAATATAATACAGATGTGTGAGATGATGCATATTGACAAAAGATATGGGAAGAGTCAATACACACAATGCACAGGTCTGAAGAATATGCAGGGACCAAAGGTTAGAGGGAGATTATGCACACATAGCTTCAAAGGTCATAGAGATATTGAGAATGAGAGAGAGAGGTTAACAAAGCATACGGGGTTTTGGGCTTCTTAATGGAAGGTTTTGGGCCAGAGATGTGGGAGTGGGATGTGACGAAAACTTTTTTTTTTGCAACAAGTTGAACACATTGCATATCATTACAATCAATGATTTTGAAAAGAAATCGGATGGGCATAAATGAAATAAACTTTCAGGGCTTCAGGGATTAGGCAGGACAGTAAGACTGGGTTATTCCTCAGAGAGTTGGCCTTGATGGTCAGAAAAACATCCTTCTATATCACAGTGGAATTCCCCTTCAGAGGAAATAAGTCCACTATGTAACCTATCAAAATGCATAATTTAAAAAATCATGTTAGATAATTTCTCAACCATCAAATGCAATGGGGTGCACGCCTAGCATACGCAATGTCTCTCTATTGTTATAACCCTCAAAGCTCCAACATCATGCTGATCAATCTGTGCTGCATCCGCTCGAACATGCTGTTCCTAAGATCCAGTACGCAAAGCTGAAAACGGTACTCCAGATGAGCAAAGTTCTATGCCATTGAAGCATCAGTTCCCCAGATTTATTGCATAAACCTATTCAGCTAAGTGCCAAATATTCGATTAGCCTTTTGGAATACGTTATCAGAAATTAAGACGGCTTTTGCAAAAGAACTAAGTGTACAAAAATTCAAGGAAAGAAAACTTGCATTTATAAAGCATCTTTTACAACCAAATATCTCAAATGCTTCACAGTCAATTAAGTACTTTGGATGTGCAGTCACTGTTCTAAAAAAACTATAGCCAATAACGCACACAGCAAACTCCAACAAATAGCAACATGACAACAATAATCGTTTTCTGTGATCTTGAATCAGGGATAAATATTCACAAGGCCACAGTGAATAATGTTCCTACTCTTCTTCAAATTAGTTCAGCGCAATCTTTTAAACCCATGCCAGCAGGCAGAAGGGGACCTCATTTTTGATGTCTTAACTGAAGGAGAACAGTTCAGACAATACAGCACTCCATCACTTCATGGAGTGTCAGCCTTAATGTTTGTGCTCAGGCACTGGAGTCGGATTTGAATCCAGAACCATGTAACTCACAGGCAAAAACACTATCAATGGCTGATACACGACTTAAAATACAAATCTGTAACTATACTAGCAAGCCCATTTCTTCATCAGAAGTCCGATCCATTTGTTTCTTAAATCATTCTCAGTCAAAATGTATTTTGCTGTTTCTGCTTTATTACATGGAGGATAACTGCATTCATTTTGTGTGTGACTGTCATTCAAATTATGTTGGAGAATACGAAGAAAACCAGAGTACATTCTAACAGAAAGATAATGTTGGAAAGTTGAAGAAAACAGCCAAAACAAAGTAAGTTAAATGGGTGCAGGAAAGGAGAATAAAACTGTACAAAAATAAATTCCACAGAACAAAGACCATTAAAAAAAAAGCATCAATCCAAAGAAAAGCTGAGAAACACAACTGGTGTGATAAATTAGTTCAGAAAGGGCTAGCACATAGCCATGAAGAAGAAAAGAAAACAAAAATCAAAGAGTTGTAAATCAAACAGAGATTAACAAAACATACATCCAAAAATATATCTGGCATAAAAAATGAAATAAATAAACTAACCATGAAAATGTAGACCAAGGGGAGGAAACCTCAAGCCACAAGTTTGGCAAAGTGTTGGATTCAATCAACCCTTCAGTGGAGCTCTAGAGTGGATGGGTATTTCAGCATTTTCCCAACAGCAGCTAGTACATATACATGGGAGCTGGGAAATGCAGTTGGTTAAAACAACTCAGGCTGTTTCAATGAAAGTCTACACAGTCCCATCCTTAGTAATATGATCAACATATTCTTTGTTTGGGTCCCTAATGAATTGAAGAATAAATCTTCACCATATTTTGTCCAAGTCAGAGGCCACAAGCAAAAGTTGCTCTGAAATTTCAATGTGACAAGCTGACAAGACTGGACAACATTTGGACTATTCAAGTGAACTTCAACCTGTACCGTTCAGAAATCATTTCTGACAAAAGATACTCCACAAGTATAAATGTTTTGATTCAATGACCAAAAAGTGGTCAGTTTCTTTTATACTGCTACGAGAATAAATAAGGCTTTCACCAGATCTCTTTAAGGAACTCAAAAATAATCTATGAACAACTCATTTCCAAGAACAAGTGGAAAAACTGGTTAACTTTCAAGCTATAATGTGGAATTAGAAGTACATCCTATTTTAAACCTAAAACAAAGACATACAACATATATATGGACATATGAAACAGTAGCAGAAATAGAGCATTCAGCTCCTCAAGTTGCTCTGCTATTCAATAAGGTCATTGAAATTACCTCTGGTAATCCTCAAAAAGAATCAGTCCACCTGTCTTAAAAATATTTAATAAACTTGCCTCCTCTGCTACAGCATTCCAAAGTTGCTCAATGCTGAGAGAAAATGTTCCTCGTCATTCCTGTCTCGAAAGGGCGACCACTGATTTGAGAACAGTGTCCTCCACTTCTGGCCTAATCAACAAGAGGAAATATCATTTCCACCTTGTCAACACTATTCAGGATCTTACACTATTTCTAAGCCCCAGTGGAAACAAACTCAATCTGTCCAACCTTTCCTTATAAGACAGTCCACTCATTCCAGGTACTAACCTAGTAAAACAGGAGGCTGGAAGAACACAGCAGGCCAGAAGCATCGGGAGGAGAAAAGCAGTCAACATTTCGGGTATTGTCCTTCTTCAGGACTGGATGGGGGAATAGGGGGAGCTACAGGTAAAGAGAAGGGGGGAGGGGTGGTATCAGAATGGTGGTGATAGGTGGACAGTGATAGTAGGTACGACCTGCTTAGTCACTGGAAGGGATGAATATCCATTTTCATTTTTGGTTACTGTTTATAGACCGACATTCATTATAAATCCACAGACTTCCATAGCTACCTAGACTATACCTCCTCCCACCTTGTATCCTGCAAAAACTCCATCCTGTTTTCCTTATTCCTCCAGCTCCATCGCATTTGCTCTGACAAGGAGACGTTCCACTCTCAAGTATCAAAAAACGCACATTATCCCCCCTCTGTCATCCAGACAGCCCTCCACTGCACTGCCTCCATTCCCCACTCTATAGCTCTTAACAGGTCCATCCACCTCCAAACATAATAAAGATAGGGTGCCCTTGTCCTCACTTTCCACACCACCAGCCTCCACATCCAACACATCATCCTCAAATACTTCTGCCAACTCCAATCAGACCCCACAACCCAGAACTTCATCCAGTCCCCATCCCTCTCTGCCTTCCGCAAAGACCATTCCCTTCACCACTCCTTAATTCGCGCCATGCTCCCCACCAAAAACTCCAAGCTGCCCGGTAACTTCTCCTGCACCCGTAAAAGATGCATCGCCTGCCCACATACCACCTCCCTCACTTCCATTCAGGACCCTAAACAGACCTTCCAAGTGAGACACAGCTTCACCTGCATCAACCTAGCCTATTGCATCCAGTAATCACGAAGTGGTCTTTACGTCGGTGAGACCAAATATAGACTAGGTGATGTTTTGCCGAGCATCTTCACCCAGCCGTAATGGCCAACCTAACCTCCTGGTCACTGCCCATTTCAACTCCCTGCCACACAATCCCCTCTGACATGTCCTTCCTCGGCCTACTCCAGTGTTGCAGTGACTCGGAGCACGAATATGAAGAACAACACCTTATCTTCCTCCTGGGCACTGTATAGCCCGGAGGACTCAACATCGAGTTCTCCAATTTCAAATAACATTCCCACCCAACCCCTGCTCCCTTTCCAGCCCCATCTCCTTCCTTCTATTCCACCTTCTGACCCTCCCTTCCAGCCACCAACTGGATTCATCCCTCCCATCAACCAGCCACTTCATGCCCACTACCAGTGTCCACCTATCACCACCATTCCACTAACACTCCTTCCGTTCTCTCTTCACCTGCAGCTCTCCCTAACCCAACGTCCAGTCCAGAAGAAGGGTAATACCCAAAATGTTGACTGCTCGTTTCCTCCAGATGCTGCCTGGCTTGCTGTAT